TAACTACCATCAAGAATATCATTCAGCGGTGGATCATCCGTAAGCTTTGTAAAATCACGAGCACCTGATTTCAGCCCGTATAATCCTGCATAAAATTTCATAAAGTCCGTAAGTAATTTTATTCTGTGTAATGCGAACTCAGATGAACACAAGTAGAAAACCGATGAGAAGCATTATTATAAACAAATTATAAATCAGTGGCTTGTTTCCTTACTTATATCATAATCGTAGGTAACAACAACTAATGGATTTTAGCAGATAAACTCCTAGCAAAACTGAAAACAAGGTGAAGTTATGATCTATTAGTGATGGAAGAAAAAGAAAATCAAAGAAAGGTAAAGAGAAATTAGTTTCATTATAACACTCATAGGAACTGGGACGCAACGCATTTTTGTAGAGCACGATATACTCAAGCTACAACTCTTGTTGAAAGACAAAGTGAAATAGGTGAATTTAAGAGAGTCACATTCTATCTTTAGATAGGTGGCCCGTTGCACTGTGGGATGTTGCATTCAAATGGCTTCTTAGAAAGGCTATTCGTGTGATTATATCTTTCCAGGGATAACTTCATTAAAAGAATAAACTAACTCACATATTTACAGAAGTTATTGAAGTAACAAGCAAACCAACACATACTCATTAGAATTAGAACTGTCTTGATTTGGTTATACTTCAGTTGTCCCCCCATTTAGGTTCCGTGACAATAGTGACAAATTTTCCTCACAACAAACCAAGAAAGTTTTTACCATTAGAAATTTAAAACATCTGCATTATCCAGTGGAGAACATCTTCAATACAAGTTATAACCAGATAATGCAAGTTTCTGAGCAAATTAATAAATAATTCACATGATATCATCATACCATGAAAACTGCTCCCTGCTGCAGCTGAGCCATTTCCAGCATTTGTAGAGAATGAATCAAACTTTGTCTTCAATGACACCTTGAGATTTCTCTTATCACCCCGCTTGCTGCTTAGGCTACTCTTCTGTTTCAACAGTTGAGTTTTCTCTGTTTTTTGTGGGGTATACAATAAACTAGCTTCAGTAAATTCCTGATTTCCCATCAACTTACACAAGGAAACATAGAAATCTAGTATAGAAAATGGAAAATGATATCCAATCTCAATCACATTAAAGACAACAGATATTGCACATTATAAGCTTGCATGATAATACAGATTTATAAGGGTCCAATCACCATTGTAGCACTAGTTTCTAAATACATAGTAAAAAGAACATGAGCATAGAATGATTTCTTAGCTTTACCAAACGAAAGCATATGGTACATTAGATTAGTCAATTAATAACATTACAAATTTGACCCGAAAATTCCCATATATCCTATAAATGAAATAACCACAAAAGTTTTTCCAAATATCCTCCTCACAAATTTACAATAAATGAAAGAATCAGAACATTCAAATAAAGGCACGAAGAAGAAAAAACCACGACATGAACAAATGGAGAGCAAAGTTCACTGGATTGTCTAACATGGTCCTCTACTCGTGCATCTTAAAAACAACCCACATATCATAATTTTAAACAAGTGCGGTGGTGTACTTTTTAAGTATTAGATTTAATTCGTCCTACTTCTTCAGAGGATAGTACACACATCATAGGTTTGTTTACTTGTAGTTATGGCTAACCGTTTGGATAGTTTTTTGCTTTATATTTTATTTTTAATCAGATTTTTGCAGCATAATCAACTCGTTTTAAAAATAAAAGTTATAATTTCCTATCTGAAATATGTAATAGATAAACTGCATGGGAAAAACACCGCCATTTGGATATGAAAAGAATAATTTAACTAATAGCAAAGAATGAACATTTATATCATATTACCATGAGAGTTGCACTTTTTAAGGTATGATCCAAGCTTATCAGATACGTCATCAGCTCCACTTAAGAATAAAGGATCTTCCAATTGAACCACACGTGGCCTCTTAGAACATAAACTACTACTACCCCTTGACACCTTTAACGGTTTACGTGGCTGTACTCCCAGACTTGAAGTGGACAAATGACTTCTTTTGTTCCTACTTTCAAAATCTTCAGATGTATTTTCACCATCCTTAAAAACTGCTCCATCAGGAACCTTATCTAAGGAAACAGGACCCAAATCATTGATAGAGCTCGTCCCATCTGAAATACCGATATTTATAGAACATTAGATCATTAAAATATGGGAAGTGATGAAAGAGAAATGACAGATAAAGGAGATGATGAGCCAGAGACTCGTGAACATAAATTCTATAAAAGTCATCTCGAAGTGAAATAGCATGGATTATACACAATCAAGAGTGAAAATATAACACTCACAAAAGTCTAAATATTCTAAACATATGACGATCCTTTCACAGATGCAGCAGCTAGAGCCAGCTATCAACATCATTCATCTAATAGAAGAACTATAAAAAAAGTTGCAAGCTTTTCATCAAATTTTCCAAATTCACCATATAGACCTTATTCCATAATCAGGATTTCAGCAGACAGATGCTATACACCATCCAATGAACGAATAAAGAAACTAAAGACAATGTATCTTCTCATGCAAAATATTTGATATTTCTACTGGGACATCCCCGGAGAATGAATTTTCTCTTTATCATATTTCTCCTTCGAAGTAACAAGATACAAGCTCAAATGAATGCCATGTTTTGAGTAATCTGCATACTGAGTCCGAAGTCAACCTCACTCCAAATCCACTGGAACGCAATTAATAAGACGAATCTTTCATGAATAATGACATAGCAAAAAAGAGAGGATAAGACATCCTCCAAACGCCTGGGGTTCATATAAAGCACTTCAATTGGTGACTCACATTTATTAAAAACAGGTAAAACGAAGTGGTGGCGGTCTTTATGGGGCTACAGAAACTCTTCGGTTTTTCAACAATAAGTGACTCAAATCTCTCTATAACTTTCATCCTCTTACATACAATTCGTTCATCCACAACCAATGCGTAAAACTCCAAGAACTAAATCCATTGCCGTATCTTTCGAAAAACAATCAGAATCAGCAGTCTCCAAAACCTCCGGTAATAGCTAATTCGAATGCACAAGGATGACTATGCCACCACATGCAGGTAAAAACACGAAACCAGCAAAAAATCTAAAATTAAACAGCAGTACTACTAAAAAAAATTACGACTATTCCACCTTTTTTACAACCGTACGAGCTGAAATGCTGAAATGAATAGCTAGGAGGGGCAGAACCGCGATCCGCCTCACACAACTCAACCTCCTCGATTGTTACCCCTGTTCTAACAGAGCCGTCTGGTCCCATGAGCTTCGACACCACCACATCAACCGGACAAGTCAATTCTAGAGCATACATAACCGAAGCCCTAGCTGAAAAGAGCTACAAACCGAAGTCGATTCACTACAGCCGCCAAACATCTCAAATGACTTCAAAACTCCATCGCCAGAAAACACCAATCTGAACACAGAGAAGAACATTAGAAGATCCTACTGGGGAGACGAGAATCGGAGAGTGAATCAAGAAAAGTGAATTAGGTGCGAGAACACGAAAGGAAAATAAGGGGAAACGGGAGTGTTTAGCATGTTGCGGCTAGGAGTAGGAGAAATCAGAGTATTTTAGGGCACGAATTTGGGACAATGGTAAGTATATATAGTTTTCGGGAAAATGTGTGTCATTTTTTGGAAACGGACCATCGACGGTCGAATATTCCGTTCCGTTCTCCGTCAGTGGTCGTCCGCGAATACCCGCTTTGCGTGGAGACGGGTCTCCACTCTCGTTGTCTTTTACGGACCTTGACATGGCATTATCCCAAATTATATAAGGATAAATTTGGCGTCCGCCCAATTATCATCCGCCACGTACTGCTACCTCGTCGATAATTATAAAAATATTCTAAATAAATCCCTCGGTGTCTCGCTCGCGTACACCTGTTTTGTATAATTACGACAATATTCAATATTCTTTTAAATAAAGTAACAGTTTTTATTTACATTTAATTTTATTATTTAGATTACTTTTTTAGTTAAATATTATAAAGAAAATATTTAAATCTTTGACATCCTACTAAAATAATATATGTCTCTATATTTATTTTTTAGAGTATTTATTTTATTTTCATGTGATATTTCTATTTCAAGGATAATTTAAAAGAAAAATAATAATAAAAAGAAGAACTAAAAGTAAGAAAATCTTTTTGTTAATGTAATTACACGTGTTTTATCTTTTAAAAAATGTGTATTGGGCCGGCTCGCAAGGTCCAATAAATAATTGGCCGATGGGCCGAGAAACTGGAGTTTGGGCCGTATCGGGATATTCAGCGATTTACGTGGCTCCATGTCAACTACATCCGGGGACACGTATTTCCGATTCAGTCATCGTCAGCCTGCCACGGCCACCTAGCTCTGCCACCGTGTCGTCTCACATAGTGCGATTACTAGGTGATTTTCTTCGATCCACCGAGTCATAAAGTGCCCGAGCATAGCGTGCATATGGCCCGGCACACCTCTATCGCACGGTGTCACTGGCACCGCCACGTCAGAGTATACCTTGAAATTGGAGTAGAAACCAAGAGTCTAACCATACCTTGAACCTCAATACATCTCAATGGGTGACTTACATCCTTGGAATTGGAATAATTAGTATATGTAAACTTCATGAGCCGGCCAGGAATGAACACGAACCATGGAATTGACCCATCTCTTGGACTATGACTGAGCACATAGCTTAAAAAACATTGAATCAAAGAAGTTTTAGTGAGAATCTATAAGTAGGTGCTTCTTTAATATTTTATACTCATTCCTATTATTCTTTATTTACAAATAGCATGTAGATCATTGTTGATAGCGGAAGCGTGCAGAGCCGTGTGGCTGACCGAGAATTTGCAGATGGAGTCATTTTCCCTCTTGTTATTTTCATGTCACGGTAGCCCATTTTTCAAAACTGAAAAACTTCTATTAAAAATGAAAATAAGAAAAAAAAAATTAAGTTTTACAAATTACAATTGCCAATTCACATTCTCTTAAAAAAAAAAAAAAAATTTGTCATTCGAAAAGAAAATCCTCCAAACCAGAAAAGAATTCGAATGGCAAATCCATAATAACTCCCCCCTCTGCAACTCCCTCCATCGGCTGTTCTTCTTCAACGGACGCCACGGACATAGAATTACTAGGCGACAGAATCACGTCCAACCTCGGATTTTCCGGCGCCGGAAACTTCTTCCTGGTGGTTCCGGCAAGCGCGTTACGGCGAGTAGGCTCAGCGTGGTTGTGCTCAGCCGAGTAGGTGACGACAAAGGCGCCAGGATCGGAGAGGCTCCGTTCAACTTGCTTTCTAGCAGAGCATCCTTTGGAGGAGCTACATCGATAATAGCTTCTCGGATATGGCGACCCTTTAATCGGTTTCTGTCCATATTTCCGCCATCCCCATGAATCCGAACACACCCCCTCTGCTTTCACCTCTTTCACTACTCTGTTTTCCCGACTTTTCTTGCTGATACCAAATCAAAACTCAATCAAATCCTTCAAAAGATAAAATTTTGAATCTAAATTCGACGTACCCACCTCTGTTTCTGTTTAGTTGCAGCGATTTGGCTCTTCCGATGAAGCTTTTCCGGTTCCTTAAGCTCTCTGAGAAGACCAGAAATGGCGGCGGCAGAGGCAGAGGCAGAGGCAGAGTCATCAGAGCTCCCAAACAACCCTTCAAACTCATCATACACTGAACAAGAACTTAAAAGTTCATCTTTTTCGATCAAAAAAGAGACCAAATTTGGATCTTCCATGAGCGTTGCTGTTCTTGAAGGAGTAATTGATCCGTTGCATCCTTTTACAATTGCTTGCAAATCCCAATCCTCCATGGGGGGCTGACTTTGAAAAGTTCAGAGCTTTGAGCAAATTTAATTTGCTCAAACTTTGTTTAAATAATTGGAGAAATGGGATCTTGTGAAATTGTTGTTTGGAGATTGGTTCACACTTTAATCTGTGTTTTTGTTGACTTTGTGAAATGTCAACGGGTTTAAAATTGTTTTTTTAGTTTGATGTGTGAAGAACAGAAATTAATTATTATTTTTTTTAATATGATATTGATATAATCTTGTGTTATTTTCACACCTTTTTCTTTGATTTGTTTTTTTAATGATTATTTGTTAGTTGTCCACTTAAACAAGTCGATGTTAAAAATTATATATATATAAAAATAGGAGTGTTAAAAAAATCGGAATCAACTTCGCTTGCACTATTTGAGTTGGGTCATAAAATTATTTGATTGAGTTAAGTTCGGTGTTAATTGGAATAAATCAAAATTTTATAGATGAAATAATCCATTAATTATTAAATAAATAGATTAAATTAAGTTGAACAAACTTAAATTTTTATTTAATTTTATAATTATTTTCTTTTGATTATTTATTTTTTATGAGTTACACATCTTAATTAAATACTTGAAAATAAATATATAAATTTTACTTTTTTTTTTATAAAAAAAAATAAAAATTTAAACAAATTGTTGGAACAAACCCAACCAAAAACTTTATGATTGTGTTGGGTTGGGTTTAAAAAATTTACAACTCTAATATTGGGCTGAGTCTACAAAAAAAAAAAAAAATGTTTAAATCCGACCCAATTCAACTTAATACACGAACTCCTAACAAATATCTTTAATCTCTCATAAAGGCATACCAAACGTGTACTCACTCTTTTAAAGACTCATTTCTATATAAAATTATCGGTTAGTCCAAAGTCAAGAACATTGACACACTAGAGTTCAGAGTTTAGGGTTTATACTTTTTAAGTACTTAGAAAGTCGTCACAATCAAGTCCTATATCATACCATTCAAATCCAAAATCTCTATCGGCAACACGTCTTTACATCGACATCGACTAACAAAAAAGTCTCACCGAAACGAATCGAATCGATCCGGAGAGAGAGATCAACATCGTATAGGTTGCTCCCCTTCCCTTTGGCCTTATCCTTTTGAGTCAAAGAAACCCACTCCCAAATCCCCAACCCTACTTTTCAAGAACCTACCTTAAAAGTCAAACTTTAATTTTTATTTTCTAAAAATAATTATTATAAATTATAATATATATATATAGATATAAAGCCCTCTTTTGCAACTTGGCACCAGCCTTGCCCTAATCTATTACGAAAAGGACTAATCCTTTTAATCCCTAATTAACTCCATTTTATTTAATATTTTATTCCTAAATTTAATATGTTAGGTTAGACCTAAAATAATATCATTATTATTAAATTTAACCTAAGAATTTTCTTCCTAACAATGAATTTAGCCATTAAATATAACAATATTATTTGGTTATTAATGTTCTTAATCATTTCATAGTTTTCCACACGTTAAAGATTATTCAATTAAATAATATAATAAATATCAACTGAAAAAAGGTTTAAGATATTTATACTATTTTAATAGATTTTATTTTATTTATTTTTAAGATGACATCATGCTAACATCATTTCTAAATAACATCTTTATTATTTTATATACTATTTTATATATAGTCAATCATTTTAAATTCATTAATCAAATCTAAAAATAAAAATAAAAAAACCAATATATTTATTTTAATCAAATTATATAATTGTTAAATATTAGATCTATTAAAATTTATAAACGAGTATAAATAGCATAGCTCAGTAAATAAAAACATCAATTATGATTTTAAGGTTACGCTTGAGATCGAGCCATTGAAAAAAAAAAGGTGAAAAGGGTTTCGTGAGAAAGAGGGAATAAAGATGAAAATAGAAGAAATTAGGACCGACTTTAGGAGTCACAATCATATTATATAGTTTTAATTTTTGGGTTTTAGTGCATAGTATGGGCCATTTAATGTGACGTTTTTAAGAATATTAGAAGGCTTCATTTTCCCACGCGGAATGGGCAACTTGGACAAACGGTGGCTTTGAAATGGTCTTTCTTTCTTAATATATATATATATAGATAGATAAAGTGATTTTGAGATTTTTAAAAAAAGATTAAAATTAATATTAATTAAGTTTCTATAATTAAAATTAAAATTAGAAAATAATGCACTTAAATTTTCATGTAAATCACTAAATTAGGTGAGTATAAAAGTTTATGGTTTTATTACTTATTTTTTAAATGCCCTTCCAAATTCCTATATGAAATTCAATTAAATTTTTATCAAATGAACTATTCGATTTGGGCCCATGGGCTTGGCCTACTTTTCGATCAGTGTTTATTTCTTCCCAAGCCCACTTACATGGGCCCAATATATATTGGTTTTTTTTTTTACAATTTAAAAAGTTTTAATTTAGTCTCTTATATTTTAATAATATATATATATTTTAAAAAAAATGTTATATTCATTATGAAAATTAAGTTTGGCTTAAATTTTAAAAATATTGTTAAAAGAAAATAGATACTACATTAATTTAAAAAACTAAAATAAGAATTTAAATTTAAAAAATTAAATAATAGATACTACATTTAAATTATATAATATAAAATTGAAAATATTTTAAATGTTTTTTTTTTTTAATTTTTTTTTTAATTTTTATGGAAGAACTTAATAAGGCATGTAATAAGGCGTCGATGGGACCCCGTCCGGCCGTCCCTGTGCACCTGGATGGCGCCAACAGTACAACCAATCTTTCACTCAGCGCTTCGTTTCCCCTTTCCATGGCTGTCCCTGCCCTTTTCTTCGTCTCTCCCACCGATCCCTTTTTCTTTCGCAGAAGAAATCTGTGGTGTTTTTCGTCCTCTTCGCTGCCTTTCGTCTGTGTTGATCCGGACATGATCTTCACAGGTTGGAGCCTGGGTATCCATTGATTATTGGGGGAAGAGGCTGCTGCGAGGCTCATTCCGATGGTAATTTCTTTGGTTCTTGGTTGTTCTTCTCTTTTTTGTTCTTGTTGGTTGCTCTGCTGCTGAAGAAATGGGGAAATTTTTACCAAATTAGTTATGTGTGTTTTTTTGCTTTGAATTATTAGCTCAGTTTTGTTGTTGATTTAGGGCGGTGTTCTTCTTCACTGTGTGGTTGATTGATGCAATTTTGAGTGCTTTGAGGCTTCCTGATCTTTCCAAATTCAGATCCAAATGGAAGGGTGCTCCATCTTCTGTTTTTATTAAAGAAGCTGTAAGTGGTTGTGTATGTGGTAGCAAATTCTTGCGCACTTACCAAATTTTGCTTTGTTTATATATGAATCATGTCCTCTTTGACTTCACTTATTTAAATTGAGCCACTTGGTACACTGTACAGATGATCTATATGCGTGAATACATGATGTCACGATATCTTTTATGCTTGCATATGGCTCTCTTTAGGGAGTCCCTCAATAGCATAGTGGATAAACCAAGACACGTACTCTTTTCTGTTTGTTTTCTCAACTTTATTGGTTTATTTGATATGTATATGTCACATAGGAGTACTATTAAATTTATTAAAGAGATTTTATGAGGGTCATGTGATTCATGCCGGGTTCTTCCTCAGGAGTGAAATAGTGCTTGTGTCAAAAATGCATCTCAACAAATTGAGTACATTCATTATTATTATTATTATTATTATTATTTTTGTTTCCCGTTGGTACTGTAAGATCCCACATTGGTTGGAGAGGAGAATGAAACATTCCTTATAAGGGTGTAGAAACTTCTCTATAGTGGACCCGTTTTAAAACCTTGTGGGGAAGCCCAAAATGGAAAGTCCAAAGAGGACAATATCTACTAGTGGTGGGCTTGGGCGGTTACAAATAGTGTTAGAGCCAAACATTGGGCGGAGTGCTAGCAAGGATGTTGTCCCCTAAGGGGGTGGATTGTAAGATCCCACATTGGTTGGAGAGGGAACGAACTATTCCGAATTGTAAGATCCCACATTGGTTGGAGAGGGGAACGAACTATTCCAGATTGTAAGATCCCACATTGGTTGGAGAGGGGAACGACATATTTCTTATAAGAGTGTGGAAACCCCTCCCTGGTGGAGGCGTTTCAAAATCTTGAGGGGAATACCAGAAGGGAAAGCCCAAATGAAATATTCCTTATAAGCGTGTGGAAATCTCTCCCTAGTGGACGCATTTTAAAATCTTGAGGAGAAACCCGGAAGAAAAAGTCCAAAAAGGACAATATTGGGCAATATCTGCCCGCGGTGGGCTTGGAATGTTACAAATGGTATTAGAGTCAGACACCGAGCAGTGTGCCAGTAAGGACTCTGGCCCCAAGGGAGTGGGTTATGGGGAACAAAACATTCCTTATAAGGGTGTGGAAACCTCGCTCTTACAGGTACACTCCAGAGTTTAACTGACAAGAAAATGTTCATTGTATTATTAAAAGAAAGTTTCGAGTCTACTAAGTGGACCTTAGATATAGTTCTCATAACCAACTTCAATTGTACTGCATTAACTTGGACTGACCGTTCAATTGCATCTTCGTTCTATTATACCATTTTATGATTCCTCATTATAGCTTAATCTTCTAATTACATAGAGAGGATAAGATTGTGCAACTAGTCACGTAGCTGATGAAGTGATGTTGGTTGGGGTGGGGGAGTTGAGACGTATATCAGTAATGGAAGAATCAGTTTATAATAGAATTAGGCACTATAGATTTTTGGATTCATATTAAACATATTCTTACCTGAGACATAGATGCTTGGCCACAACCAGTGTGCCCCTGCTTTCTAGATTGGCCTTCACTCAAATGCTAGGATAAGTGACTTGATCCACTGTTTCGTTTTGCAAATGCTTAGACAATGCATTGGAGGTCGTTAATCAAAGAATACTATCTTCATTGGTATGAGGCCGTTTGGGGAATCCCAAAGCAAAGTCATGAGAGCTTATGCTCAAAGTGGACAATATCATACCATTGTGGAGAGTCGTGTTCATCTAACATGGTATCAAAGCCATGCCCTAAACTTAGCCATGTCAATAGAATCCTCAAA